AATATTTTTGTGTGAAGTTTGTTGTTTGTAACAGGTGTCGACATCATTTCTTTAATGTTGTTTGGTCTCTATTATTGTCTATCAATGAGAAAGTTTTAATATACTCCATGAAAGACTTTGGCGAGATCAAGTATCAATTGTCTGTAAGGCAGAGTTGGAAGTTATCCATCTCGCAGACAAATTTGAGAGTTGTTCAATCAACGCTTAGCTAATGGCAATCGCTCAGACAAGAAATCAGTGGGATCAAGTGGATTTCCACATGCATATACTTGGAGCAGTTTATTATGGATAGCAAAGTTATTAGATCAGGATCTCTAGAGGTCTTATTTTTGTTAGAAGTTTGAGTGTCTGCATCAACAAAGGGAATTATCGTGTGATAGTTTATTGTAATTAAAATGCTAGTATCAAACTTTTTAAAATAGTGGAAAATCGTGATTATTTTTCAGTGGTTTTTAACACCATTAAAGTGTGGAGTAGGCAAAGCGAGGACGAACGTCGAACCACTATATATCTTTATGTATCTTTTCTTCTTCCCTTATATCCTTTTAATTTTCTAGAATTCATTAATATTGATATTGCATTAGTACATTATTGTATCGTTTGTATGTCATATAAGTTAGAACTTGCTTATAGAGATTTAATGTATAAACTTAGGTTTCTGGTCTATCAATCTTATTGAATTATCATGAAGCCAATTATGCCTTGAAAGAACATCTACTTAAAGAGTTTTTAAATCGTTTTGTTTAAAACGAATTTGGTTATTTTGTGATTGACTTGCATTTGAGGAAATCAAGTCCTTAGTAATATTGTGTATTATTTAAGTTGGTTTAATTAATTGAGATGCTTCCAAGCTCTCCTAGTATTGTGTTTTGCTTCCTCACTTCTTAAAATCTCTGATTTCGTTTATGGAACCTGAAATGTTTTTGAAATTGTCTTTTAAGGGATATGTATATCAATCCTCCCATTCTAGACCTATTTGTGTCAATATTCTCACCCAACTCTTAGTGTGTAATTTTGAAATTGTAAAATGATAGTGATTTGTGTAGCTAAGTTATAAAAGTATTATGTACATTCAAACATTTTAAATGTTTTCAAACAAATAAAATCAATACATAAAATATTTAAATAGATAACAAACATCTAAGATTTTATTATAAATTTCTAATGAACACCCAATGATAGCTTCCACGTTACTTTAGATTTCATTTTGCATACATTCATCTTGTCGAACAAAGCCATTTTTCGTTCAACAATGCTTCATCAACAAAATTTTCTATTTTTTTTGTAAAGATCTTGAAAATAAAAAATAGTTGACTAATGGTTATTAAAAATACAAAATAAAAAATTCAAAAGCATAAACTACATACCTATAGACCTCAATAATTTTCCTCAACCAACTTACACAAATTTTGCAACCAAGTTACACAAATTCTACTAATCATGTGCAAATCTTATCCACCATATATAACCAACTTACATAATCCAAGTAGGTTCACCGCCTTTTTTCTCAACCAACTTACACAAATTTTACAAATCATATTCTGTCACTATCCTTTTTCACTTTTTGAAGATTAACCAGAAATGCACATGATATGCACGACTCAAAAAAACACTTTAACTAAAAATTGTTACAAATTAAAACGAAATGAGAAACGAAAAACTAACATGTTGAAAAAAATAATTTAATTTTAAAGCTCTAAATCATTACTCCACGGGACCTAAAACTTGAAAAAATTAATCCAATTATAGTTATTCGATTAAATGACCAATTTAATTTGCAAGTCCAACCAATAACAACATCAAAGATAACTATAATTCATAACTCTACTATAAACGCAAAAATGAAAAAAATAATATAAAGAAAAAAACAAAATAGAGGATTTAAGAAATAAGAAAGAGGGGGAAAAAAGAAATAAGATTATGAATAAATTAATATCGTGGAAGAAAAGAAGACATAAAAAAAAAGAGGAAGGAAGAAAAAGAAGAGAGAGAGAGAGAAAGAGAGAGAGAGAGAGAAATCAATTAAGGAAAAAGAAAAAGAAGAGAGAGAATGAGAGAAATCAATTAAGAAAAAAGAAAAAGAAGAAGAAAATAATAGGGACGAGTCTCTCTCTCTAAATGATATGTGCGTGAGAAAAAGATAGAAAGGGACAACTTTTTTTAGCATAACGAGTGAGTATAACATGTGAGTCAAAGAGGTAGAAGTGAGTTTGAATTTGTGAAGAATTTGTTAATTACCATTATACACATTTTGGTTTGTAAATGTTTTAAACATTCAATGAAATTTTAGGGAAAAGAGAGAGATCAAATTATCTTAGATAGATGATAAAAATAAGTTTGTATTTTTGAATCATTTGTTAATTAAGGACATTTTGAAGTGTAAATATTTAAAACATAAAACAAATTATAGAGAAAAGAGAGGCACCCAATTGTATTAGGTAAATAATTTAAGTGAGTTTGAATTTTTGAAACATTTATTAAATAAATACCATTATGGACATTTTGAAATATAAATACTTTAAACATTGAATAATATTTATAAAAAAAAAGAAGAAAGGCATCTAGGTAGATAATTGAAGAGTTTTTTCTTCTTCTTAATTTAAGAAATATGAGATGATTTTATGAATTGAAATATTTTTAAGGTTCGATATCTTAATTTCAAATTTAATAAATTAATGAAAATATATATTTTAATTTAATTAATAAAAATTAATTAAATTTACATTAAAATAGAATATTTGTAGTTCTTTTTAAAAACAATTATTAAATAAGTATACATAATATAACACTCTCTCTCTTTATAACACTATATAAACAAAAAAAATCATATTTATTATGGTGTCATGTTTATAGAAGGAGTAATAGATTTCATCGAATGATATGTTAAAACCTTTTACACTGTGAAAAAAATATTAATTAAACTTTAACTAATATTCAGTATTTTTTTATAAGCAAAAAATTTATATTAGAGAGTACAATGGGTACTTGACCCAACCAATTATAAGAGATGTTTCCTTATAATATAAGTCATATGATTGGAACTCCAATCCTTCAAAGTTCACGACTCATTACCTCTAAGACTCAATGCAAACCACTCTCTTGACAACAATTTGACACTCCCAAAGGCAATATCAACTCCATTAGTCTCACCCTTAAACAAAATATAATTTCTTTTATGCCATATGGACCAAAATGCTTCTAACCACAACATACCACTTGACTTCCCTTTGAGTTTTCCTCTTAATTTCTTTCTAAACAAACTGCAATGCTCTAAAATTGATGCATCTATCCCTCATCTTCAACTCCAATCCAGACATACACATTCCTCTACCATTTTTTCAGCAAACGATCACGTCAAGAAGAGATGATCCATTATGTCATATTTTTTAAAATAGAGAGAATATACTGTATTGTGCATACCACTAATTACTTCTAGCTTTTGCATCTTTATTCTAGTGGATACTACATATAGGAATACCCTCCACCCAAATAAATGGATCTTGCTTGGAGCTTTAAATTTCCACAGCAAATTCAGTTCCTGTTACACTTCCATTGCCAACTGAAACATGCATTGAAAATCACAGACAACATATGTTAACTCTACCTGACTAAAAAAATCTCGGCATTATGCCACCTGACAAAATTGTCTTCAATATTCTACTTCAAGCTCACTCGGTGGAACAAACTCATCACTTCCTCCTGTCAAACTGCTACTTCAGTTGAGTCACTACAACTATCTTTGTAAATGTTCCAGTCCAACCATTCTCAAACCACGTCCCCATGTTAGTAATCAAAACATCACGGTGGATTGAAAAGGAGAATGCATCAGGCCCAACCAATTAAAGTTCCAAAATGATATGCTCATGTCATTTCTAATCATGCAACTTATATTGTTATGAAACCAGTTCTATTATGCCACAAATGAAGAACCAATAGACTTTAAATTCATCCACTAATAGAAATCCCCCATTCCATTACCCAACTTTACCCATCAATGACCTTTGACTTGATATCACCATATCTAAATGATAGAAAATCCTTCTGAATGGTCTCAGCCTCATTAAGAACACACCATTTCCACTTACTAAATAAAGCTAGATTGAAATAGCCATTAAGCTTCAATCCAAGCCCAACATCTCCTTAGCCTTGCACACACACACACACTGTCAACTCATCGAATTAATTATTAGTTTATCTTAGTACCAACCAAAGAAACACTTTTTGAATCTTACAAATCTCATTTAAGTAGAAGCAACTCGCATGAAGGATCCCTCTAAGTTGATACCGTATAACTTGCTCTTGTGGAAATTTACTCCTAGACTGGACACAAACTCAAATTCATACATGATGGCTTTAATACTCCATAAATTAGATCAATTACCCTAACATGTGGGTATTATGTAATTAACAAATTGTATTATCTAAAATTGGATATCATCATTGATTCTAAAGGACTTGTACTCACCCAAATGAATGACATTGTAAACCATTCCATTCAGTCTTTCAGCATCCAAGAGGAATAAAAATAGAGCCATTAGATTTCCTCTGCGCATGCCTCTAAAAGTTTGGAAGTCCACAATGAAACTTTCATTTACAAGGATTGACATGGAACTTGTGAAAATGCATGTTTTCATCCACCTCATCCATCTTGACCCAAAGTCAATCATTCTCATGATGTCTTTAAGATAAACCTAACTCACATTATAAATGTTATTCATCTCAAAAGATTTTTTTTTTGTGTTATTCAATAGAGTCAAAGCCCAAAAGAAAACTACACAACCATCATGTTAACAATTATTCCTCTAAGATCATTTAATAACAAATAACTCAAACAACTTGGACACTCCTCCTAATAAAGAATCCCTCTAGTAAGTTTAATACAATCTCTACAAGAGTGTCTGCACACTTATTTGCCTATCGAAACACATTCACAAAATCGAATATTTGATAATTGTTTCATTACCTTTTTTTTATTTTTATTTTGCGAATGATACTCAACCATGCCCTTATCATGTAATTCAAATAAGTAATCGCATTAACCACATCTTTGTTATCTACTTAAATCTCCAACCTATCATAACCTTTAACTTGTGCGAGATTTAATCCTTCAAACACTATCCACAATTCTGCAATGAAATTTGTACAATTACATGCATTCTTTGAGTAACCTCCTAACCAAATGCCATACCATCCTTAACAACTCCACCACAACCAAGTGTTCGTTTAAATTGTACAACTTCATTTAAATTCAGGCATATCCAATTCTCATCCGGAGATCTCTAGCAATCTCAAAGGAATTTATTTATAAAAGAAAAACGAATATGCAACTAAAAAATTAAAAATTGGATAAACATGGGGCTAAAGCTACTAAATAGGCAAGGGTGCTAAATTGTTAAATTGAGAAAGTAAGGTGCTAAAAGTATAATTAAGCACGAAACAAATAGAAGCCCTATTTGTCTCTCCTTCACTATCGATTAACCATTCCGCAGACACTCAAACCCTAGCTTCCTACCGTTCAAATTCCAGTCACACCGTCGTCGACGCTAACCCGCCGTCCAACCACCGCTACTGTCATCTCCACTTCACTTCCTCAGCCTCTTCTTCTCAGAGGTATGGTTTCCGAATTCCAATCTATCAGTTTCTGCGTTTTCATATTTTTAACAACCGCTTAGGGTTTGAGTATTTTTTGAACTAAATTGAATCAATTCTCGCAAATTTTCTCAGCATTCAAATTATCTACTCAACATATTATTAGTTATACCAAGGATTAATTCATTGATGTTGTAAATTTTGATCTTTTCGTTTAACCTAGCATATACGAAATTTGAAAATCAGATATATATATATGTACCATGTATCATTCTGTTTATGTAGATTTTAGTTTTTAGAAAAATGATTTACTATATGCTGTTACAGGGAGATTTTGGAGTGATGAGGATCAGGAAGAAGCAAAAGGATGTTGTTGCAGAGGTTGTTGATGCTGGTCAAGATTTGGAGTCTGTGATTCACGGGCACGCAAATTTCTTCGACAAAATGATTGAGCTTATTCCAGCTAAGTTTTATCTACCAACTGATGGTGATGAGAAGCCTTGGTTTCAGGGTCTTAATAAGAAGAAGAAAGCTCAGGCGAAGAAAAAAACGAAAGAGAATATTAAGAAGTCTCGGAGGCAACGATTAGATCCTGATAAACCTTCTGCAAGCACGCTTGAACTTCTCAAGCAAAGTTTGGGAAAAGAAAAGGTGAAGGATGGTAGTGATGATAAGGATGTGGTTAAGCCTTTTGTGTCTGGGTTGGAAGGAGATACTCGGTCTGTTACGTATGAGGAGCTTCGCCAGAGGCTTCATCGCAAGCTTGAAGGGTTTCAGTCAAGCCGTAACTGTGCAGATCCGGAGAAGGCTGCTAAGAAGAGGGAAGAGAGAGATGCTAGGAGAGGGTATCATTATGATGGGAAGAAACGTAAGAGGGATGATGAGATTGAGGAAAGTAAGCCTGCGGTTGATGAGACAGAGGAGAAGGTGAAGAAGGATGCTGCAGAGGCTTCAAAGGAGCTTGTGTTTGGCAAGGTTAAACTTCAAAGTGATGAAGTGCTGGAGACGAAGAAGAGAAGAGTTTCAAAGCACAAGGAACTTGAAAGGGCTAAGAAGTTAGAGGAAGTGAAGAAGAATGATCCAGAGAAGGGTGAAGCGATTGCTAAAAAGGAAGCATGGAAAGCAGCAATGAATAGAGCTTCAGGAATTAAGGTCCACGATGATCCCAAGCTGATAAAAAAGAGCATACAAAAGGGGAAGAAGAGGCACGAGAAAAATGCAGGGAAATGGGAAGAGAGAGTTCAGTCACAGGATCAGTTGAAGGCAGAGAAACAACAGAAAAGGTCGGCTAATATAGCTGAGAGGATTAATGATAAGAAAAAGAGGAAGATTGCTAAGAGAGAGAAAAAGCTATTACGGCCTGGCTTTGAAGGTCGCAGGGAAGGGTTTATCAATGATGCTTCCGGCTAACACTGCTGCGAAAATTATTGATTTGTGCCTCTTTGCAATGTTATCATAGGCAACCAAACATCTATCAAGTTCAATGCGGATTGATATGTTGCAACTCATCTTTGCATTGTTATCCTAGGCAACCAAACATCCATGAGGGGTTTAGAAGATTTCTTTGCATTGAAAAATTGTTGTTTAGTGTTATTAAACCCCATGGTATATTTTGGCAATTATGCATCCTTTTTTTACTATTTCAGTTATCATTGGAATACAAGAATTTTGTTGTTGAATGATAGATAATCACATGTTTGTTTACACAGATTTATCTGTTCATTGGATTAGGTTATTTGGATTGTTTTTTTTATGAGATTTGGTTTATTTTTCTCCCTAGGAAAGGTTACATTTATTTCGGTGAGAGTTATTATTGTATTTTTTCACAGCTGATTTTGAATTTGCCGGAGTGGTTAACTGTTAGTAGTACTTCACTAAATAATGTCCCTGTTTTTTAATTCCACTTCGAAACCCTTAGTTTTAGGTCAATTTTTTGGTTTTAAGCCTGGAGCTAATTTGATTTTAACATGTTTATCTGCTCTTAACTAGAATTGATTTTGTCTCTAATTGATTTTAATTTGAAGTGAATTGATTTTAATTATAAGTTACGGTTTGAAGTTTTATGGTAAAGCTACTATGTATAATGCACAGTTTCTATGCATGTGGGAGCCAGTGATTACTAATGATGAGTAATGACTTTTTTAGTTTGTGGTTGTGTTTTAGAATGTAACATTATTTCAGATCAAAACAAAGAAAACTTCATTCATACCTTAATAATTTACAAATTTATTACAAGCAGTGGATAGAGAAAAAACATTACAAATTTCAATTTTGAAAGAAAAAAAATAAGCCAAGAGGTTCAAGACATCATGCAAACAGTGAACAAAGTTTAAGCTTGAGTACCAACAACACTTGCTCATTTTAAGGGTATGCTTCAGTTGCTGGTGCTGGAGCATATGAACCAATAAAGATGTCACCGTAAATCAACCCAGCCAAGCCTCCTCCAATCAATGGTCCAACCCAGTAGATCCAGTTATCAGCAAAGTTTCCACTAACCACAGCTGGACCGAATGAGCGAGCCGGGTTCATTGAACCGCCACTGAATGGACCGGCCACTAAGATGTTGGCACCCACAATGAACCCAATTGCAATAGGTGCAATGGTGCCCAATGAACCCTTTTTGGGGTCAGCTGCTGTGGCATAGACAGTGTAAACCAACCCAAATGTAATAATAACCTCAAACACTAATCCTGCAAGAGGGTTTAATCCAGCAGCAACTCCATGAGTTGGAACACTCTGCAAATATATATCCAACATAATATTAGTATACAAATTAGCGTACATGTACGAGTATGACTATAATAAGCGACAAAACTCTAATTTTTAATATACCTTTCCGGTGACGAAGCTGAGGAGGAGAGATGCAAGGATGGCGCCAAGTAATTGGGCAATCCAATAGAAGAGTCCAGTTAGGATGGTGATGTTGCCTCCAATAGCTAATCCAAAAGTGACAGCAGGGTTCAAATGTCCGCCTGAGATGTTGGCTGCTATGGACACACCAACAAATAGCGCAAATGCATGAGCCACAGCAACTGCCACTAGACCAGCTGGATCAAGAGCTGCATCTGATGTTAGATCATCTGCATAATACAAAACAAAATCTTATTACGCTCACACCATTATCATTTTTCAAATATTTTGCGATAAAAACACACATGTCTCGCATGTTATTGACGTGGCATGAACGAAGTTGATCACTTATCATACGTGTATTGCGCCAAATCATTTAACTAGTCACACTTAATCATTACTTACTGTAAGCAATGGCTGATCCAACTCCAGCAAACACAAAAATCAAAGTGGCATGAAATTCTGATAGATAGGCCTTAAGTGAGGCAACGCTAAAAGAGTCATCAAAGGAACCAAGAGTTATCTTCACCATTTTGGCAATTCACGAGAAAACAAAGAGCTAACTAATTAACCAAAGACTAAGATGTTTTTTTTTGAACCTATCTAATCAATCAAATATTAATTGATGATGCATTGCATAAGAAATATTTGCAATGGTATATATATGAAGAGTTTACATTATTAAAATGAGTATGATTGTGAAAAGGAGGTATATTATTCTATTTTGTCCTGACACCGTCCATGAACCACATGAGTTGTTAGATAATGCTTGATTAATATGTTAGGACTTAGCTAACCACCATAACCCTTTTCTTTATTTCAATAATTTATAAGATTCTTATACATATTTTATTCATTATGAGCTTAATGACAACTAATTTACCTAGTAATCAATGGAAAAAGAAACCTGGATTGTCTGAAAAATAGTGTGTGGATAAGCATGCAATAGGCGAATATTCTCGTTAATCAGCACTTTAATCTTTTAAATTTGCAAATAACAATTTATTTTTCTAAATCAAAATAGATTAATCAATATAGTCGTCCACCCGTTTTTTAAAAAACTCTTATTAAAATTAGTAAAAGATGTACATATTGTCTTGAAGAGTCTATTATTGCATCAAGACAAACGTAAATTCTTTAAAATTATGGATGTATTAAGTTTGATAAATTGATTTTTCTCAATTTTTTATTTATAAATTGATTGCCATTATTTGATTTGAGATCTAAATTATCATTTCACAATTTGAAAAACTAAATTGTTACAATTTCAGTAAACTAAATGCACAACTCGAACTCGCGTTAGACATGATTTAGAAAAAAAACACTAAAATAATAAAATGATATTTAATCTATTGAACATACTGACCGGTCATAATTAACATGTCCGTTCGTCAAACTTCTTTAAAATTATCGGTCAAATAAATTTGAAATTCGGTAAATTAAATATCTCCTTGAAGAATTCCTTCATAATGAAATCATGATGTAGTGAATCTCACCACTAAATTCAAAATCGCCTTACCATAATTAACAAGAGTATTTGCACACTTGTTTCCTTCTCGGCAAATATGAATGTAAAATCTATTGATTTGAAGATTCTTGCAATTAAACCATATGTTGTGGAGATCCTATAGTATCAAATTGTCCTTCAAGATATAATTGAGAGCAATTTAAGAGTCGCTTTTTATCCAAACATTTGACTAACCTTTAAGATTTGCTTCTTCTAAAGCATCATAATAGAAACAAGTTTTGCTTGCAAGATATTCACTTCACCAAAATTTATAGAGAAGGCTCCTAAAAGACCCTGACGATCCCTTGCAAATGCACCCCCTGCAACTAAGTTATCTCTAATTAAACTGTCTATGCTAATCTTTGTCCACAAAACATGAGGTTTTTTTTCCACTAAAAACCGTAATAGTTCTAAGAGTGTTTTAATACCTTTTCTCAATGTGTAGGTTATCCAAAATGTCTGACTGTTAGCCAAAATTTCGACAAAGGTCAAATCCGACTAAGAGGTACAAGTGTGGCCAAAAGCGACAGGGAAAATGCCAAAAAGAGAAAAAGGTCAAGCCGACAGAAACATGGTGACGACATGAAGACTCTGTTTGCGATGGACAGTTATGAAAAGAGAGACGTGGGAAAAGACTATTCCTTAGTAGGTTTTGAAACATGAGAACGTGTGAAAGACAAATAGATGAGTTAGAGGACATGTGGCACTCAAAGAAGATGAACCCGCCAAAGGAGCAATTACCTTCTTGTATTATAAATAAATCATTATAAATAGATTTGAGGGATTCAAACTTACTCTCATCTCACACAAACACTCAGAGTACCCAAGCGAAGAGCGAAATAAGTTAAGAAAGAGCAATGTATCTTTGAATCACCAGTTTTATTTCATGTCAAGCGGATCTACTTTAAACTTTACTTAAGTTTTGCAAATCTATTTTCTTAACTTTAGAGTCTTTTTAGCTTTATTTATCATTATGCAAAAAAGTCGATTTCACACTATTGCACCCTAAAATCCCCCCTCTCATTTTAACCCTAATTGACTTATACTTCATCATCATATGCATACATACATGTCATTAGGTACATACTCAAGGAATAAAATCATTTCTCTTTGGAAAGAACCGCGAAAGATGTATGTTCTGTTAAGAAGCACAATGAAGCAAAGTTTGGGGTTTTCAGATTTTAAATGCACGCTGCACGTGTTCCAAGCTATCCAGTCAGGGATTAATAAAGTCATCATCGTATCAAGCTCTCATGTGTTTCGACACGCTTTGAATTGCACCAAAAGTCAAGTGTTTCGGTTGATTTGAGACAGTGCAGACAGAAATTCAGTATCTTGCGGTGCGAGGTCAAAAATTCATAACTTGAGACCAGAAATTGGTTTGGGAATGGTTATTGAATATTTAGAACCGTCTTGAGATCTTTTCCAATTCATTTGTTCAGGTCGAAGGATAATTTTGTGAGGGAGATATGCAAAAGTGCAGAACACCTGGAATCACGTCATATAGTGGATTTGCTGGTTCACTGGTTTTCGGATGCTTAAAAATTCGTAACTTCTGACTGAAAGATCATATTTGATTGGCTCTTGGAGCATTTGAACCTTCTTATTATTTTTTTCATTTCATATGTTTGGTTCAGAAGCTGATTTGGTGAGGAAGATCCCCGAATTTGCGAATTCTCTGAGACCAGTACCATGAAATAGTGTGCCGAACCGCTGTTTATCGGATGTTTAGAAATTCATAACTTTTGTCCGGTTCGACATTCTTGGATGCTTCTTTGGGCGTAAAATTTGTCTTGATACTGTCTTCAATTTGTATGTTTGGGCCAAAAGTTATTTCTTTGAAGAAGGTATCTGAAAGTGCGAATTACCTGAGAAAATTGCATCCCGAAATGGTTTTGTACCAGACTGTTTCCTGATATTGAAAAATTCATAACTTTCTCAATTTTTATCGGTTCAGGAAGATTCTCGAAGCGTGAGATCACAAATTGTGTTAGCTACAACTTTGCTTCAGGGCCAAAGTTAGGATTATGCTCAGAAGACTTTGGTTTATGGCCTGTTTCCAAAGTTGTACACCGAAATAAGCTGAAAAACCTGCACAGTGGATTTTCTGTCTCAAGTCTCTCGTCGTTGCGAAATTCATAACTTTCTCGATTTTTATCGTATCAGGGAGATTCTTTTGGCACAACTTTACAAATTTCATTATCAACGTTTTTGTTTCAGGTTGAGCGTCAGAATTATGCACCGAAAGTGATGACTTTGTGGGTTTTTTCGGACTGCACACAAAAATAAGTTGAAAAATCTGCACAGAGAGTTTTCTGTCAATTGTTTCTCGTCATTTGAAGCATCGTAACTCTCTCAATTTTTATCGTATAGGATTGATTCTTTTGGCATTGCGTCAGAAATTTCGTCATCGACAATTTTGTTTCAAGTTTCACGTCAGGATTATGCTCCGAATGTCGTGAATTTTAGTTTGTTCTCGAGCCGTGCACCAGAATGATTCAAAAATTCTGCATTTATCAAAAATACACAAGCCAAACAAGAATTGGAGCCCTTTCTATATATTTTAAAAATTCAAATTGAACATAACTTTTCCCTCATTCTTGAAAAACCTCACACAAAACTCTCTATTCTTTCTCAATGTCTCTCAAGGTTTAAGAACACAAAAAAGCAAAAGTATCAAATTCACTCTTCTTCTCTCCTCTTCCGCCAGAATTCTCATCGGACCTCCCTCTCTCTCACTGGAGAAATGCATGGCCTTCCCTCTTCCGTGTGCACACGACCAAACCAGCGCACCTCTGGCCTCCGCGCGATTCGCCGCCACTCTCTCTGGGCCGCCACTACCTCCGACCGCCACACGATTCGCTACTACTCCCCCTATCCGCGCGATTCTCCGATGCTCCCTCCTCTCTCCGATCGTGAACTCCTTGCTTCGGTCAAATTTTCTAGCATCAATTCAATAATCCTTTCTTGAACCTTGCTTTGATTTGATTTTGTGAATTCAATTTATTCTTGAGAATATGTGATTGTTCTTGTGATAATTAATTTCGTGAATTGAGTTGATTTGGATATAATTGAATTGTAAAATTTATTAATCCTTGAGATAAATAAGTATAAATATATGTGGAATCAGATGAGCAATGCATTAATTTATATGGATCTTGCAGATTCAGTTGATATATGTGGATGACTTTTCATGTGAGATTTGATTTTGCTAATTATTGAGTTTACACGTCATAATTTGGTTTTGATTCAACACTTGTGCATAATTGTTTGAATTAATTTATTGGAATGAAAATTCGAGTTAATTGTTTGCTTTCGACGTGTAAATAACGTTTGATTCGATGCTTGGAAATGGGGATACCGATACCGGTTGGATGAATGATATTTGTTTGTGAATTTCGGTAGAGTTTTCACGTGTCGATACATGGACTTTGTGCATTAAAACGATGATTTCAAACCGATTTTTGTCAAGTATCGACACTTGATATAATGCTGTCCGGAATTCACAATTGTGCCATAAACTTGAATTTAATTGCTGCACTTTGCAGAGTTGGTTTGCACTTGGTAAATGCATAACATTTGTGGTGGTTTCGATCAATTTTAGACCAACTTTTTCTGTATCTCATGAAGCAGTATAGTTCTGTCCGGATTTGATTGATACATGTATATTATAATTCCATATTAATCTAATACATGTTTGTGTCATTTGGTTGATTATTGAATAATAATTGTTGATTTTACTCGATTTTAATGCGATTATTTGGGTGATTTGGAGCTTGTTTTTATTGTTGGTTAGCACATGATTGAACTTCCTTTGGTCTATGTTTGACATGTACGTGAAGTTTGATTGGTTTTTAAACTAACTTTTTGCGCGATTTATGTGTTATAACAATGCTGTCCGGATATGTTATGTGTATGTACATTGTGATTCAATTATCATGTGATGCATTCCTGATTGTATTTGAGCATTCATTGAGAATCTATAATGATTTTATTTGGTTTCGACTTGAGTTTTTGAGGTATTTCATATATGGATGCGGTGCTGCCCGGTTTTCTATTTCCATGCTCCGATACTTGTTCGGATGTTATTTGTTTGCAATTCAATCTTATTTTGAGTTACGATGTGATTTATTGAATTTGTTTATGCTTTCTTGTTATCCCTAAATTTTCTTGTGGACTTGTGCAAGCTTCGGAAAGGCGATTTCTCACACCATGCGATGTGAAGATTATTTGTGCTTGTATAGTTTTGAATGTTGTGTAGGATGCACATAATATTGGATACGCGTGTGATTACTTTCATGCGATGCTTTGATGCTTATTATCATTGTGTTTAATTTCTGACTATGTGCTTTATTGGTGAATCTTGAGCGAAAATTTCCGGGTTTCTTTGTATTGATATCACTTGCTACGAACTCTTGTTTGTTTGGTATTATTCCGATTCTAGTTTTTAATTCTGCATTGTATTTTCTTTTTATTTCCATGAGAAGTAGGAATAGAGATGCATGATTGGGAGTCCCTACTTTAGGTGAGAAAATCTGTTTTAAAGACCTTTAGAAGGAATTTTTGTGTGTGCATTTGTTTGTGTTTGTTTGTGTGTAAAAGACCTCAATGAAGGAAAATCCCATTTCCCTCCCATTTCTCGTTTATTTTGTGCTTGCTATAAAGTCAATAAGTAGAACAAAGGGCCCACAATTGACCCCCACGCTTTCTAGTCTGTGTCGTTATTATCCCGCGTCATACATTGATGCTTTGAACCATGCTTATTCTTGTCCATTGAGTCAAATAAAGTGAAAGAAAGGGTTCATAACCAACCCTCACAATATGTCATTCGTTTCGATGATGTTAGCTCACGTTTATTTAAACATTGACGCTCCGAGTTGTTACTTGATGTAGGTAATTGAGCAAATCAAGTGGAAAGAGTTCCTTACTCCCACTATGAAATCCAATGGATTCATTTTTTATTGCTAGCTCACACTCGATTTTTGTTTTGGTTTTGTTTCAACTTTGTTTGATCGCACTTGTGCTTGTGCTTTTCTTTAGACCATCATATGCTCTCTTAGGATCGTTCGACTCATCTTTAAGTCGAGGTAGACATTAAGACTTCAAACCATGCATGCTAACCTAGATATTTTCCCCCTTTCAAACTCAACTATAGGATCAATCATTGTATGATAATATTATGGATAGAGATAAATAGTTTCCCTTAGATGTTTTTTCTTTCCCTTTTTGCATGATTAAGACTAAAACTCTTTTTTCTTAGAAAATTCTAAAACATCTAATAATTGAATATGTGAGTCGTATGCAGTTGAGTCTTATGGGGATAGAGAGAATCAGTTTAGACTGAGCCTTATTATATTTTCACATTCAGACTTTATTATGATTCAAATTGCAAACCATTTTGCAATTAAGCGGAGAAGTAGCGCGCATCCTTCCAGTGGGATCCATTTGCTATTATCCTACAAAAATACTCAACCAATTCAAACTCTTCCGCCTTCGGGCCTTTTTTTGAAACTCTCAAAAGGATATGTTAATTCTACTATGCGCAATACGACGTGCAAATCTCCAAAGGTCGGGTGTCACTATGTCTACTTGCTAGAGCATAAATTTAGCATTATCCACCTTCGGCCATTTTCCTTTTGAAAACACCTCTTCAGGTAGAACATGTTAATTCCTTCCTATGCCAACGCATGTGTTGTACCCCAAAATTTGCCCTCGCATTTTTCCCCAAGAAATCTCAGCTTCAAGCATTTCCTGACTTCTCAAACTGGCTCAAGAATCGGACAAACGGACTTTTCTTGACAGTCAAGCAAAATTAGGGTTTTTACTGATTTTCAGAGCTCTGATTTGTTTCATACAGTGGGCTTAGGGTTTGGTTGATTTTTGGTTCAATTTTGATCGAGCGAGCATGATTTGGCATTTAATCAGGAATTAGGGTTTTATGGGCATATTCTCGGAGAAATTTGAATTCCACAGCACTTTGCGGTTTATTTCAAGATTCGGATTAAAATTCGCGTTGTCTTGGTTTAATCAGTAAAAGAGACAGTGGTTTGAATTCAGTACGTTTTGATTGGGCCAGTCATATACAGTATGCAGTGTTGGATTCACAGTGCTTATGCGTTTGATCAGTCTATTTGGATCGACTGCCGCTTTGTTTTGGATATTGAATAAGACAGACTTTAATTGATCAATGTTGTTTTATTTTAGTTATTTATTATTCTGAAATTAAATGATTGAATTTATTATTCAATTGTTTTAATTCTAAGAATTTTAAATAAATAAATAAACAATAAAGAAATTGGAATTAATTGGATAATTTAAACTTTTATTGATGTTTGAATTATTTGTACAAATTGTTGTTTATTACAGACAATAATTTACATTTAATTTAAATATTACATAGAATGAAAAATTATCCTATTTTCTAATATTCTTTGTTCTCCATTCCACTCCGGTATTCCATTTTTCATCTGCAAAAAGAAACAAGAAAAGTCAGAAAGCAGTTAATTGGAAAAGACAGTTAAATTGCTCATCATTAGGGGTCACTGACTGGGATCAGTTGACCCTCTCTGCAAATCACGGGATTTCTCCCGGTTCACAGAGAGGGGAGATCATTTTATTTCATAAATGCAAATGTCAAAAATGCATAAGTTATAAAATTCAAGCTGCATAGAAATTCAAGATTCAAAATCCAATCCCAACTGAAAAAAGTTCAATCCAAACTTTCTGTCCAAAAACAAAAGTTACTGTCAGAATGCCAAAAGATATCAAAGAAGTCAAAATGGTACAAGTTGCTATCAAAGCCTACAAGCTGTCAAAGGGACCTTTGCCAAGATATCAAGGAAAAGAGCAAGGCGCAAAAGCTGAAGAAGAAATGCAGAAAACATATATGCAAGCTAGTCATCATTTCCCAGTATAAATATAGCCCCTTCAGAAAAGTACAATTTAAATTATATAAAAATTCTCTATTGTACTGTAAAGAGAGAGGTAAAGAGAGATAAAGCAAACTCAGTTCAGGTTAGGCATAGACATCAGCACAGCAGGCAAAAGGAAGAGAGAGGAATGTGTACCAATTTCATCAACTCTGCATAATAACAGTTCACAGCAGACAGTAGCAGGAAGAAAAAGATACACAAAATCAGAAAAGAGCCAACTCAGTTCAGTAACATAGGCAGCAGGCATAGACAGTAGAGGCAGAAAAGATATACAACAAAGAGGATAATTCAGCATTGTTCAAAAATTACACAGCATAGCCAATTACTGAAATGGGAAAAATGCCATGAAACCTTGTGAAAATGTCCAGCAGACTTGGGTCAAAGAGAAGACCAAAACTTTGAAAAACGATTGGGCGCCAAGAGAAAAGATAGAGAAGATATATACAACTCAGTAGTTGCACAAAGCTGAAGCAAAAAAAACTAATACCAAAAACTCATAAACCTGCATTCTCCTCACCAACACCTCAAATATCTGTCTAACCCCTAAACCATAAAACATATACAAACACCAGTTCAAACCCAACCCTGAACCAATATGCAAACCTGCTGAAGCCAAAAGAAAACTAGCAAGTCAAAACCAAAACTGCATACAGTCCAAACACCTAAAAAACCTGTATTAGCCCATACTGCATAAACCTGATAAGCATCAAAACTCAAGCCAAGAACCAGCCTACTGTCATCAAACACCAATACCCTGCCTTACCATTAGAACCAAAAACACCATACTGTCAAACCATACCCTCAACAGAAATTCAAGGCAACCCAATCTCAAACCTATTCAAACACACAACCTAACATACAAAAACCTGATACCACAGTTCAATTCAAAAACAATGCCAATATCCTGTCATACCAGTACCAAAACTGTCAAGGCAACCCAATCTCAAGCATAATCAAAGCACACAAAAATCCCTAAGCCCTCAGTACAAGCATCATTGGGCATTAAGTCTCAAAAATACATAGCATCCACCGTTTCAAG